CCAGTTTGCAGCAATTGTTGAATGAAAAAATGAGGATTATATTGAATTTTTATAATTATTCATAACCGTGTATTATGAGGGCTCAAGGGCAGTAACTCGCTGTAATTAAATATCTTTTTCTGAACAATAATCTTCTTGTATCGCTGCGGTAACTGAAGAGTGAAATGGGTAATTTGAGAATGAAACGAGGAAAGTTTCGAGAGGGTGTTATTTTTTTTCTAGAAATTATTCCCAAGACTCGAATGAATGGATTTTTACGTCGTAATGTCTCTTATAAAATTTGCCATCTTTAAAATCTTGAAAATGAAAGTTGTGCCAAGACTTGATTGAGTGGAGTTTTACGTCGTACTAACTGTTGTGGAAATTTTGTGACTTTTTAGCTTCTAAGTCTAGCAAGTGAAATTGAGAATTTGGGAATTATACCAGTGATAGTGTAGGGAGAAGGTCGTAGGAATCTTTTTAGAGTGAATGGAGTTTTACGTCGTAATGACTCTTATATTTTATAAAGTGTAGCGTTTTCGAAATCTTGAAACTGAAATTTGTTTTTCAGAATGAAACGAAAGAAGGTGTAGCAAGAAAAATTCCAGAAATTGTTCCAAGACTCGAATGAATGGAGTTTTACGTCTTCCTTACTGTTGTGGAAATTGTGTGACTTATTAAGCTTCTAGATCTAGCAAGTGAAGTTTTACGTCGTAATGACTCTTATGAAGTGTAGCGCCTTCGACATCTTGAAAATGAAATATGTTTTTCAGAATGAAACAAAGGAAGATGTAGCAAGACAGATTCTTTCCAGAAGGTATTCCAATGAATGAATGGAGTTTTACGTTTTTCGGATTATGACATCATTATCACAATACCATTTCTCTTGAATACACATACCAAGACTAGTTCTGGATCCTTTTACCATAATTATCAACAACCAAACCAACAATGGGTCCCTTTAAGATAATATAAAGGATCTAAAATGTTATTCTGATTGTTGTCTTTTCTTACATAGTGGGACTTTCTTAACGGTAGGCTGTCTGGTATGGGTTGTTCTTTGAAGTGTTATATATGTGCTAACACTGTCATGTCAAACAGTCTTGGTAAGAGATAAATACGAGAAAATCCTCTGCTTTGGTCAACAATTATCTTCGATTCACGCTATGGATACCATTAAAGATATTAGTCTTATTTGATAAGCCTATCATGTAATGTGGTTTATTTCTGATATTGCTATATTATAAGACAGTAGACACCAGTGCCAGTCTCTCGTGATTTGAGGTACATATAGGGGGCAGACTGACTTAATGCGGGGACAACTGTCGAGGCTGAATTCGTAAGACTCTCATGGTGCGTCTGAGATGTTTCTCTCAAGAAAATTGATTTGGTGCTTTTTGAAGCATATTTTTGGGGCAAAGACGGTTTAAAAAAATCATTTTTGATTTTGTTAAGAATAATGTGGGGGTACAATTGGGGTTGCAAACCGTTTTTCTACGGGTTCAAATACACCCCCCCCCCCCCCCCACCCACTATAAACTGACACCGCCACTGGTAGACACTGAAGGCGGACTGTATATTGATACACGAATATATATCCATAATTTAATATACTTCATCATCTTCACAATACCAAGCTATTATGAACTGCATCTAATACCTTGACTTACGTGGTTTAACTAGATGAGTTAGGATTCGTGGAATTAAACAATAATTTGAATTTTGTCTGGGCTTCAGGGCCTCCTATGAGAGTAGGGGCCCATGGGCTTGGTTCAACCAGTCCCTATTGTAGTTGAGCCACTGCTTGACTTCAATTGACTCTTTTCTCGTTTTACAGTTTGTAAATGCAGCGACTTAATTGGATTGTAAATACATCAAATACGGGAAATCAAAGCACTCGATATCATGATATC